TATCTCTTATGCATCACGAACCAGAGCGGGCAGAACTTGTTACTGTTTTTCAGTGAATGTAAAATACATTAACTGAAAAACAGTAGTGGCTTCTGTTCGCTCTGCTTCGTCATGCATATGAGATACGGATTTAACTTGTCAACAAAAGTTGTAGCTTATAACAAAACCTACAAAAGTTTTATACATCATTTTGCGGAATGCTGTTAAAGAAAAAAGCTAGAGGCAAATGAATGTAAATGAATGCACGAAATAAAAATAGACCACTTTGTCAAACTATTTTGTTTGATTTTTAACCAGCGATTTCATAAATCTGGGCCAACAAATTACTATCTTGCTGTGAAACGCACACATTTTGGCTACTTTTCGCGTGATTTTAGAAGATTCGAACTTGCTATTCAACATCGCCCTCGAAGGAGCGATTAGGAGAGCTGGCGTGCAGAGAAACGGTACCATCATCACGAAATTATTGCGACACATTCAACAGGGCATAACTTTTTTACCATTGGGTAAAAATCAACCAAATTTTGCACACTTTCTCATTGATGTGTATTGTGTACATGCTGTCAAACTCGAAGTCGTGTTTTTCTATTCAACGAAATGGAGGTGAACCAACGCGAGTTGAGAGAACAAATTCTTTCCAAACACCTGGAATTTCCTGACCTGTCGCACCGGCAGTTGGGAAAAATGTTGAACATTCACCATTCAACCGTCTCCAGAGTGTTGAAGCGGTTCCAGGAGCGGTTGACGTTGGACCACGGCAAAGGAGCTGGAAGAAAACCGGGACCGGAGAACAAAAAGACGGAGGGAAAGGTGAAGCGGATGATTAAAGCAAATCCCAACGTCTCAAGCCGTGATTTGGCTAAAAAGATCGGCATGTCGCAGAGCTACGTCCAGAATGCAAAGAAGAGAGCTGGACTACATACATACAAGGTACAGAACTTCCCAAACCGCGATGAGCGGCAACAATTGACGGCTAAAACTCGGGCACGGAAGCTCTACGAGAAGATGCTGACAAAATATGGCTGCTGTGTGATGGACGACGAAACGTATATAAAAGCTGATTTTAAGCAAATTCCGGGGTTGGAGTTTTTCACCGGCAAGAGCAAGTTCGATGTGGACGACAAATTTAAGAAGAAGAAAATGTCGAAGTTCGCCTCCAAATATCTCATTTGGCAGGCCCTCTGCTCTTGCGGACTGAGGAGTGAGCCTTTCGTGACAAAGGGCACAGTAAATGGCGAGATCTACAAATCTGAGTGCCTCGAGAAGCGCCTTTTGCCGTTCTTGCAGCAGCACGACGAAGCTCCGCTATTTTGGCCAGATTTGGCATCATGCCACTATTCTTAAAGTGTCCTGGAGTGGTATGAGGCCAATTCTGTCCATTTTGTTCCAAAGGACATGAATCCGCCAAACTGTCCGGAGCTGCGCCCGGTGGAGCAGTACTGGGCAAAATGAAGCGGGAACTTCGGAAGAGCAAGAAGACAGTCAAAGACGAGAAGGACATGTTAAGAAAATGGAAAAAACTGAGAAACTGGTACCGGATGACACTGTAAAGACTTTGATGGAGGGCATCAAGCGAAAATGCGTTCAATTTTACACACAAGGCTCCATCGATTAACTTTTCTTTTGATTTTTGAAGTAAATATATGTATAAAACTACCCTAAAATTTTGGTTTGATTCTAAACATTATAAGAAAATTGGCATGACATTTTCGGTGTCGCAATAATTTCGTGTTCGCCCTTTACATGATCGCCGGTAGAAAGCGTGGGAGCAATAGTGGTGTTTGTAGTGAAGTGGTGCTAGATGGCGAAAAATTTGAAGTTGTGGACGAATTTGTTTATCTTGGTACTTTAGTGACGTGCGATAATGATGTTACCCGCGAAGTGAAAAGGCGGATTGCAGCCGCGAACAGGGCTTTCTACGGGTTGCGTAGCCAGCTGAAGTCCCGCAGCTTGCGTACGAAAACGAAATTCCGGCAGCCCTTTAGGGCCATGAATCGTGGGCATTCAGAGACGCCGATCGGAGAGCTTTCGGTGTCTTCGAGCGTAAAGTGCTGCGAACAATACTCGGCGGTAAACTGGAAAATGGCATCTGGCGGCGTCGCATGAATCACGAGTTGTACCAAGTATATAACGGCATGGATATTGTGAAGCTTATAGAACACGCCTGGCTACAGTGGGCTGGGCATGTGGCACAATTGCGGGAAGAGCGTCAAGCGAAGTCAATATCCCCTTTGGAATCATTCATAATTGGCGTAAAGGGTGTCCGCAGTTAAATTGTATCACTTTCAAAAAGCTGTAACATTTGTCCCTTTGGGTTAATTTTAATAAAATTTTGGATGAGATGGCCTCAGCGTGTACTGTTTATACTGCATGAGTTTCATTGTGAAATTTCAAGTAGTTTTCAAAATGGAGGCAAAGGAACAGCGCGGGCGCGAGAAAATTTTGCACTCTCCTCAACAACCGAGCCATCGGAAAGATGTTAGGAATCCAACAATCTACTGTTTCTCGTGTCATAAAGCGTTTCGAAGAACGTTTAACCAGAGAGATAGCTCTAAGATCAGAAGGTCCCGAAGTAACGTGCTTAAACTTTTGGCTCAGTTCTGGTACTCAATTCGATCCCAAGCTAATCGATGCACCCCTCGAAACATAGGAAAATCCACGAACCCCTCATTTTATCTGTCAAACTTTCATAGCGAATCAAAACAAACATAGTGTAGTACTAACATTTAGACTAGAATGGGGTACGTTCATCGATGGAATTGGGACCGATAGGCTAGTCCAGTGTGAGCCAATTTAAAATCGTTAGTTTCCACCGGGTGTTCCGTACTGCGTTGAAAATTATAAGCGAGTGGTTGCTACCTTCAACTGCCGTTCGGGTTGTCGCGGAAAAATAACTAGATCTGACAAAAAGTTTCGTGAAGAACGTTAAGAAACGAGCGTTCATTCAAGTTTCACAAAACCACACCACATCATGAACGATGAAACATACGTAAAAACGGACTTCAAACAAATGCCGGGTAACCAGTATGTGACTGCGAAAGACAAGTTCGATGTTTCATAGTCCCTCAGGAAACAGCAAGTGTCAAAGTTCCCCAAGAAAGTCATGATTTTCGAAGAGCGCTAGGATCAGTTTCATGAATGGACCACTTTTATGGGTATTTTGGATTTTCCCTAGGACGGCCCCATAGCCATCTGGAATCATGTTTATGTCACGACACGACCCCAAATTCTTTCTTATATCACAGTTCCAAGTGTTTTCGAAAAAAAAAACCGCGGATCTCTAGGATCGGTTTCGTGGATTGAGCAATTTTACGGATGTTCCGAATCTTCCGGAGGACCGTTCCGTTATCTCCAGGATCCATATATAGGAACCATGACGGTATTCTGGCTAATTATGAACATTTGTGCATAATTTATGGATCTTAGGTCACCTGCAAAACCCATAAACACTCCTTTAAAAAAAACGTGTAACGACTGTTTTCGCTTTTGAATAAAGTAGACGACCTTATTTTTTTTACAATCAAAATACAATCTAAAAGTAACAAAATTTTTGAAATTCATCAATAAATGGCTAAGTTATACCATTGCACACTACCCGTTACACGTTTTTCGGAGGCATCGTATTCGGAGTGTTAAGGGACACCATTCTTAGATTCGGAAATTTTTTAAGTTAATAATTTAAAACATCGACTTTTATCCATATTCATGCACTTATATGACGTTCTGTGGACAAGTTGCCCTTTTTGAAATAAAATGCAAGGCATTAATTAAATTAAAATGTATGGGACTGTACCAAACTTGGAGCTCCTTTGCTTAATTTCCAGTACTAGAACAGTTTTCAAGATCATGATAGGGGAAATGGATGTAATGTCGGTCTAAATGCCCCTAATTTGGGCCCATACATAAATTCAGCAATCGACTAAATTTTCAATAGTGACCAAAAATATTCATAAGTACCGTCCCACTAACGCGTTAATCTAGATAAAATTGACAAATAGCAGATTTTTAGCGATGGGCCCAATCTTAGATCCATAGACCAACATTAGAGCCATTCATTCGTTTATTAAACAAATTTCCTACAACTCGGGAAAATTTAAAGATCTCATGTCTAAAAATGTGCTTAAAGATCCTTTTATTCTGGATGTTCGGGTTCCTAGTAATTTGGCAAAAATTCGTTCGACCCAACGTCATTTGACCGGAAGTCGTTTCATCGAATGCCATTTGACCGAATACTGATTAGTTGCAATTTGATAAATGAAGATCTAGTCGGCCTCTATGCTTTATATGCTAGGTACCTTAATAATTTGAAGGGAATAGGGTAGAGCACTACTCCGGCCCATTTCGCCCATTTTGGGCCTATCGAGCAGAAAACATCAAATAAATCCATTGTTTCAGAGTTAACAAGTAAATTATGCGTTCGGTACGATACTTTAGTTCAAATGCTACCAAATGATAACTCGTGATATAAATGTTTACACCCATTTTTCATCATAAACAAAAGAAGCGGTCGGACCGAATCAATTTTTATCTTCATCCGATAGGCCGAAGTGAATTCAATGGCGTTTGAATGGCCAAGAAATTTGGACTAATTTAGAATCAGTAGGCCGAGTTTGGGGTCAAGAAGCAGTGTTAGATTTTTAACAATATCTCAAAAATGTGTTTCTCGTTAGCAAATCTTTCGGTACTTACGGATAGGAAAATAAATTGCAGTGAAAACATTCCATTTTATTAAAAAATATCACTCGAAAAATAGAGCCAAAGGGCGGGTTGTGTTTAGTAGGCCGAAAATAAGATCTAAGCTTACAATGTATTCTTTGAAAATGACACTAAACATTTTTAATTTCAAAGTTTCATAAATTACTGTCGAAATCGGTGTGGATCGTTTGTATAATCGATAGCATAGGGGAAATGGCTCTCATGTTGGCCAATGGATCTAAGATTGGGCCCATCACTAACTATCAGATATTTGTCAATTTTATCTAGATTAACGCGTCATGGATATTTTTGGTTGCTATTGAAAATTTAGTCGATTGCTGAATTTATACATGGACCCAAATTAGGGGCATTTAGGCCGACATTACATCCATTTCCCCTAGTTATTGTTTTGATGCGCTTTGTTCATTGCCTCTAGCTAGTTCAGTTCCGGTCAGTCCGAGCTCGGATGGCGCTTGTTCTTGATTGTGGTTGCCATTCAAAGCAAACAATTTGTAATGATGAAGGGAAGAATACAATTTGCTTCCATATCCCCAATGGAAGTGCATGGCCCTCCAAGGGCTATACTGCTGATTTTGTCACAATGCAACGCACCGAACTTCGGAGGACGATTTGGGCTTCATTAAATTAAGTTCCGATAGAAGTATGCATTATATATTTTTATAGTTTTCCATTATGCTGACGGGAATAGGGACAGCTATTGGGATCTTTTGAGGGGACAACTCATGAAATTGATCTAAAAGGGTCGCGATTTTATCGAAATCTTTTATCATAGTTATATAAGAAGGAGTTTGGTATTTTTTCCTAAACAAAGCCGGCTCAAGAATCTTGACTGCAGCCCAATTTATCGTTCTTAATCTTAAAATCACGGTCTAAAAAAAGAAAGCTTATCAAGAAAGAAATGTTTTCAGAACAGAAACGGAAACCTTCCGTCACTCGACCGATTAGCAGCCAGCGCGCGGATTATTCCCTTTCTCATAAAGGTTTTACTTTAAATCCACAAAACTAATTGTTAGCTTAGCAAAAACTCTCTTCTATACTTCCCCTTTACCCAAACTCCTTTTGCAGTACTGTACATGTACAACCCACTGCTACTTGCCAGTGTGGCCAGTACTACGAGTTTAGCCATAGATCTACGAAATTTTAGATTTAGTACAGTTTCAATCATAACATTCTACGGATTTTAAAGGATTCTAAAAATCGTGGCCATGCCCTGTTTAAAAACAAGGTTCCTTAAATTTAGCGATAACTAATGCAGTGGATACAAATTTACCTATCTACGGATCGAACTCCATGAAAAGTTACCAACACTGCTACTTCCTCTGGCTGCTCTAGAAAATTTATCACAAGCAAGATTAGAGCTTAATATCCGCAGCAGCCCTAGCAAAGAACCAACCATTCCACTCTCAGCAGGATACAAAGCATCGCCATGACAAAGGATGTACAGACGACTTTCGCATGAGTACATTCACCAGTACTTCCTCATACATACGACACCTAGCTAGTATCTAGCATCTTCCGTTGAACTTCCACCCGGGTTAGAAAATTCATCCAAATCCGATAGCAATCAGCCACTCAACGCAAAGTTCCCCGGCCTGTCATAATGTTGCTAGAGCTTCCTATTGTTCCGTTGAATGTGGGTTGGCCTACATAATTCGTTGTGTCCGGAAGCTTTATGCATATAGTGGGTGATGGTCGATTGTTACTTAAAATTAATCACATCATAGATTCGCTACTGCTTATAAGTCTGTACTGAGTATTAGGAACAGGAAGGATGGTTTCTTTTGGTCACGGACGATATTGGTTTGTGTGTGTTTGAGGGTCGAACAAAGTGGAAGATTCGGGAAAAAGTTTGCGGGTGCCCATTCCGGTGGTCAGCAAGGAAAACATCTTCCGTGGGTTTCACGTTCTATCACTTTTGGTAAGTTTTTTTTGTTTGTTTCTTCTTCCGTGGCCGTCTTATTCCGGCGCGATGCTTCTTCAAGGGTCTGCTTAGAAGATGGTATCGAAAACGGCTATCGAGCGTCGAATGCTTTCATCGGTTGTGCAGCACTCGATGAACTCGTCCAGTGTGATCTTGCCATCGCAATTGCGGTCCATTTTCTATTGAGCGTGACAAAAAAAAGACAAAGAAACAAGTTAGAAACAATGACTAACAGAATGTTAGCACGTCTGCCCAATCCAACGATAGTTAATAGGTTGGATGGCTTTCAATGTCACTTGCTGTGGGCCGCAAATTGTGTTGATTATTTCCAGGATTGCTTTCTCTGCCTGTTCCAATCTTAGATTAGATTACAAATCTGATGATTAAAGAGAGTGGTGCAATTTTCTCCAAAAAATCAATCCGATTTTTTCCAATCTGCTTTTTGCAATCCGAAATAATGCATCGAAAAATATTGGCATTTATTTTTTGGAAAACGTACAAAAGTTCAATGTGCAATTTTCTTTGTTGCGTTTTCCTAGTCTATATAGATATGAAATAAAACCTTCTGATTGATCAGCCTTGATTGGATTGATAAGCAATCGAAATCCACACCACATGAACCCCAGCCTGTGCAACAAGCAACCCTGAACACTGAGCTTCCCCGCACGCGGCAAAACAACACAAGAATCATAAATGAAGCAAACAATTACCTCAAATAGCCGCTCGACTTTCTCCTTAATGGCTTGCTCCTCGTCGCAGCCATCGGGCACCTTGCCCATCAGCTCGTAGATGGCCGTTACGATCTCCTTCATCTCCTCCTTGGTGATGCAACCGTCCCCGTTGATGTCGTACAGCGAGAACGTCCACTGCAGCTTCTCGTCCACCGTGCCCCGCAGCAGAATCGATAAGTTGGCCACAAATTCCTTTTTTTCCCCCCCGCAGATTAGGAATCGGAATAATCGTGCGTGGAAATAGGGATGGAAAACAGAAAGGAACAATATCGAAATAAATTAGCAGATCGTTAGGAACGAAACTTAATCCGAACCGTGTTTGGGGTTACCTCGAAACTTAATGAGCCATTGCGGTCCAGATCGATGGAATTGAATACGTAGTGTGCGTACTGACCACTGGCCGCTGTGTGGATTCGATGGTTCGGGTGAGAAAAAGAGAAAAAGAAACACAAGTTAGCTCTGCTGGATAAGAACATTAAGGATTCTTTACGGATGAGTGATTACAATCATCGAGGGAGGAAGAATAAAATCGATCCAGACCCACACGAAGAAACAGGCTGTTCGATAAGTGATGCAATGTGTTTTCAATCAGTTCGTTAGCTCGAATCAGTCAACTGGATGATTTATCGTCAGCATCGTATTAATAGCACGAATGGAATACCAATCGACTTCCATGATGGTATGTAATAATGGTCTTCTAGAGTGTTCGATGGATACCCTTGGTTGATAGTTTTGCTATAGTTTGAACAACTATTAAAGACTACACACTTAGAAAAATTTATGTAAATTTAGGTGCTCTGAGACTGACATATACGAGCGTCAATTTTGACATAAAATTGAGTCAAAATAGACGCGAAATTCAGCCCAATCAAACGTACTTTCGAACATACACGTACAAAACAACACCCGATGATTCCATAATTCCGAAAAATATTTTTTATAACAAGTGAGTCCATGCAACCCTGAAGGGAAGCTCCACGCTACTAAAAAGTCATTTACATTTTGGTTCGCTGAGACCGACACATGTAAGTGGGCCTTTTGATATAAGAATCAGTTGAAAGAAACGTGAAAATCAATTCAATCAAACGTTCTCTTCGTCGACTAGCTGATTTTTCGGCTTGAGAACACTTAATTTTACATGAAATGTTTGTTTACGTTCTATGATTTACGTCCAATATGGATTACGTCTCGTGTAAAAGTAGTTATTTCTAAGTGTGTCGCTTATCTTCTTGATAACATTTTCAAATTGCCTCCAAAAGTTAAATTCATTGCATATATTTTGAAAACAAAAAGGAGTTTCCTGAAAATGTTCACGTTTCGGTGGAGCTGCACACTTAGAAAAAATAATATAAATTTAGGTGCTCTGAGACTGACATTGAGTTCTCAAAGCAGGATCTCACGAACACTACAGTAATAACATAATTTTTCACACACTAGCGTATACTGGCATGTTAACCTAGGTTAACCTTTACTCACAAAAGGGTACTTGACTGTTACCGTGCAAGCGTAGGGTTTGTTTTCATTTTGTTGTTTATTTTTACTTTAGAATGACAGTTCTGACAGCAAACAAAAAATTTCTCACAGCTAACAAAAAAAATCATCTCACTAACACACGCAAATCGCACCAATACGAAACCGGCTGGAGAGGACTATATACGAGCGTCATTGTTGACATAAAATTGATTCATAATAGACGCGAAATTCAGCTCCATGAAACGTACTTTTCGTCGAGTACCGAACTTTTCAGTCTCGGAGCACTTAATTTTACATGACATGTTTGTTTAGGTCTTATCTTTCATGTCAAAGATGGATTCCGTCACGTGTAAGATTAAGTATTTCTAAGTGTGTGGGTATCCGCAAAATAGACTTATTCTTACCCACAGACACACTAAGGAATACCTAATCTTACTCGTGATGGAATCCATCTTTGACATAAAGCATGAGACGTAAACAAACATGTCATGTAAAATTAAGTGCTCCGAGTGCGTCTATTATGGCTCAATTTTATGTCAAAATTGACTCTCGTATATGTCAGCCTCAGAGCACCTAAATTTACATCAATTTTTATAAGTATGAGAGACAGCTTTTAGAAAGTCCCATGTTCCGATCACGTAACCGAAGTGATGGCACTGACACATTTTTTGTATTCTCTAATTGGTGTAGCTAATGGGGAACAGCTCCCCTTCAGAATTATCTGTGCACTCTCCAGAATTTGTGGGGATTTCAAAACCGATCATTTTTTGATGACCACGTTAAGGTTACTTTTTACCAGTGATTAATACAATGTATCCCACAAATATAATGATTTTTATGTATGTCGAACATGTTGACTACTTTCATTATTCTAGAAGAAACAATATGAAGAATATTTTTTATGGTCACCATAACACTTTTGGGTCATTCGTGACTTGTCCGAAAAAGAGATTTGAACTCGTGACTTTGGCGTGAGAGATATGGTTGTTAACCACTATGCTAGGGTCTTCAACATCTTAAGATATTATGTAATATCCAAATTTTATATAGCTGTATAATAGGACGACTTTAAGCTCTACAAATCGACATCATTCTTTGCTTGACCGTCAAGCAGTACAGTTCGGTTTTCACTCACTCTCTCGAGTTGTTCGTTGTGTTAGTGTTCGTGCTCTTTTTCGTGGTGTTTGATGAAGCATCGCACGACGCCAACATGGGGAAACCGCCGTGTGCCGATGCGACTGCTATTCCGTCCGGGAAACGATCCCCATCGGACACCACCAGTGCTCAATTGGCATTGAAGAAGCTGTTGGCGAACATTCGTTACGCCATCCTGGAGAACGGCGATGAACCGAAGGTGGAAAAGAAGGAGATAGTTCCACCGTTCTTCGTTAAAGGATTCCCGCAAGGCTTGCGAGATAAAATCGACTTTTACATAGGTAAAGGTCTCAAATGCACCATGCGCCTGTGCACTGAAGGCTACAAGCTGATGGTGTCAGTGATGAACCACTACAGGGCCGTTGAGACAACAAAATGTGGAGTATTTCTCCCACGACCTCGATGTAGATCCCAAATGTGCTAATTGTGGGACAGCACATAGGGCAACCAGCCAGAAGTGCCCGAAAAGAGCGGGTTTTATCGTGATCTCCTCTACGATCCTCTACGCAGAATCAACCTGGTTGCCAGAGTGCCGGAAAACAGTGGGCTGAACTTTCCTGCCATCTCCCAACGGCATCAAATGCCGATGCATCCGCCGCTTCCTCTGAACAACCGAATGGCTGATGCTGCTACATCGGTCTCGTTTACTGCTGGGGTGCCTAACCCTCAGATACGCTCGAGTCATCAGACATATGCGGAAACTGCTGTATCCCGAAGTACCTCCCCCCTCCGGGACTTTTCAGGCGTCGTGATGATTAACCACCTCCACAAACGAACGAGAACATTCTGCTTAAGTCAACGGAACTTTTAATGCTCGTGACAGAGGTCATCAGCATCCTGCGCACTTGCAGGACCCGATCAGAACAGCTTCATGCTGCCGTGTCTCCCATCAACAAGTATGGACCGTGAAGCCATCAACATCGCAAATTGGAACGCTAGTTCGCTCAATAGCAAGAGCATCGAGTTCGTTAAGTTTCTCAATGAACGCAACATCGAAATTGCCGTCATAACTGAAATCCTCCTGAAGCCCGAAATTAATATCTATCTCCTGTCGACCACATCACTGCTCCAAACAAGTCAACATCAGGGACGGGTCGGCAGCAGACCTAAGAAGAGATATTGTTACGACTGTGGGAAAACTTCATCATCGCTGGTGACCTGAACGCCAAACATCAAGCTTGCTGCAGCGCGGAAGCGCAGGAAGCGCAGTACAAATTCGCACCCGGTTGAGTAGGTCCGGTGCTCACGCCACCATCGATATCTATATCAGTAACATGGGCAACAACATCTCACAACCTGTCGACTATCAGGAACTCACCACTATCCTGTGGGGGCTGAAGTGGTTTCCTCAGACAACAGGTTCCAAGCATCGACATTGGGTAGATTGGACGCAGTTCCAATACTGCGTTGACACCAATATCGACTATGACGGACAGCCGGAAACGACCGACGACATCGACCGGTGTCTGCGCTCTATCGATTAAGCTATTACCCGGGCCAGGGAGCAACATATGCCAGTATGCAGACAGGTGAGTAATACTATGAACCTTGACAGGCCCACTAAAGACCTTATTTGACTCCGCAACACCAGCGTACTGGTATGCCTCACCAGAAGACCAATTGCAACCGTTTAAATAAAATGATCCAAGATTCGCTCTCTCCCCGAGGGGGACGAAAGTAATCTGTTGTACATTTGTTTTAACGAATTTCAATAAAATTTGCTTAATTTTCTCGAATTTGTTTTGAATAAATTCGATTCGTTTTGAATTAACACGCGCCTTTCGATACATATTATCCGATTTCATTCACTATTCATGGATAATCTTGAATGTGTTAGAATTATTGAGCATTATGCTGATATTATATTTAGTGTGTAGTGTCATGTGAACTGTCACTTCCTAAGCACCTGCTTTTGTGATTGTTTATTGTTTCAAACCCTTCAAGCTTAAAGTTCCAACTCTGGAAGCAACGAAAATATCTGCACGGAGGGTTGGTGACCTAATTGACTACCGGCATTGATGGCCAAACGTGACCAAACCATAGATGCTGGATGCCAGGATTGTCCAAATCGTAGTCCGTGATCTTGAAACGACCATATCCAAGGCAAAGATGAATGCTGTTTCTCTTTTTTAAATATTTCTAGAAAACTTCCTTTTCATGATGGTTATGTTGGTTTGTGTGGGCGTGTCTTGATTTCCTAGTAATCATCGAAAGAAGTCATTGTTAAGGTGATTCCCTGTAGCGCTTTTTTCCGTGTTCGCAATTTCAGATGTAAAAATAATAAGGTTTCTGTAAATTCATGTAGCTGAAAGCTTCTACTTGTTGTTTGCTGCGGAGAAGCAAGCAATGTCTGAAATTTGCTATGCTATGATGTATAAACCTCGTAGGTCTTGAGTTGTATGCTCTTGAAATTGCGAGATGTGATAGAAAAATAGACTCTACAAGGAAAAACCTTAAAGCTGTTACGCACTACTTCCAGTTCTATCTATAGATTTGTTTAAGAATAATGATCGAGCTCGAACAACAATACAGAAGGGTGGATCAAACAAATTTTAATGCCCTTATCTCACAAACCGAAGCTCACCTTACCAATCGAACACCACTAACGAATAGCAGAGAATTTTTCCTACCTGATGGTGTTGTTGGTTTGGCAAGGCAAGATTAAGTTCACGAGGAAAGAGCATTAACAGTTTGATTACAAAAGCTTATTCGCCTTATTGTATTATTGGTCGAGATTTACGCGATGTTCCTTTCTTATAAACAAACGGCTGTCAC